TGCCTCAGCCGAGGTGCGTGACCGGCGGCTCGGGGTTCCTGGGGTCTTGGTGCATCAAGCTGCTGCTGGAGGAGGGCTACACAGTGCACACCACCACCAGGAGCCAGCGGTTCCCTCCCTCGTTTTTTGTTGTTGGATTTCCGCTGGCGTTTTGTGTTGGTGGGGTTTTTCCGGGGTGAAAAGGGTGAACATGGGATCTTGTGCTTTCCTTTTGGGATCTTAGGTGACCCTCCTGCTTTGTTGGGGGTACCCCTTTACAAACCAAACATTTGGGAGTTCTCCACTCCCACCCAGCCACCAAAGGACCCCAAAAAGACAAGGCCCTCCCTCTAGTTGGTGGTTTGGTGTGGTCCGTGGTACTTGGGGTGTCCAAACCAACATGTTTGCATACTCTAGGATAGACTAAACATGAATGCAATCTCAAAAAAGTCTTAGCTTTTCGCGTGCCCCTGATTTGGGCTAAGCCCTTGGTTCCTTACCGAAAACTGCTTGCAGTTGCCTGGGGCGGGCGGTCTACTTGGGGTGACGTCTGTCCAACAAACAAGAACCCTGAGAACCCATTCATGCCCCTTCCCCTTTGAAGTCTGCCCCAAGCCCTGTGGATGGTTGCGAAATCCATTTCGCACCACTTTGAAGCCATGGTTGAAGCCATTGTTTGCAGGCATTTGCAGGGGAAACATCATTCCAGGGTGTCTTAGATGGTGCAGGATTTCGTCCATCCACAGTAAGACACCTTAAAACATGGATGGACCGATGTCTGCGAAACCTCATGAACCCCACCAAATGTCCCTCATGAAACCACACCACATGTCCAAAGGATTGGTGTGGGATCCTGAAACACTTTGTCTTGCTGCTTGGCAGGGAGTGGTGAAATGACCCTCGTAAACCATCCAATTGCTGGTTTCCTGCACGGGGACCGAAGGGAAGCTGGGTTCATTTCCTCATTCCCTATGGCACTCGCAAGATGTCCCTGAAAAACCCCATGTCCATGAAACCTCATGTCACCCCACATGTGTAAAGGATTGGTGTGTGATCCTTTATTTATGGCACCGATCGCAAGTTTTCGTCCAGGAGTGCAGAGAAGGCCTCCTATCTGCGGAAGCTCCCAGGCGCCGAGCGGCTCAAGATCTTCGACGCTCGGCGCGCTTGTTTGTTCTTCTTCGGCTTCGGGTGCCTGGGAGGGGGCTGGGGGAGAAATGGTGTGCCATGGTATCTTTGGCGCGTGTTGCTTGGATGCTAGGACTTTAACTTTTGCCAACTAATGGGTTTTCCATGAAACTGCTAAAAGTTAAACTTTTAGCAGGGGAGCAGAAAGCAACCGGGGCATATCAAAGGACCCCGTTGCATGGGGGATGGCAGGGATGCTGCAAAACCTCTCACTTGTTGTTTTTTTTGGGGTACGTTTACATCTTAGAATTAATTCAAAATGCATCCATAAAACCATTAAATCTTAACCAAAATAAAATAGCAAACAATAAATCCATTATAAAAAAATAATAAAAAACACAAACACATAAAAATTCAGGAGTTAATAAACACAGCAAACCACATAACCAATACAAATAAATTATGAATGAAGAACCCTCAAAATTCCAGAAGCCAATTATCTCTTTCTCATGTGTCATCTCTTTTATAATTTGCATTCATTAAAATTGTTGACCATAAAATAATAGATTCATAATTCCAGGAAATGCAGTGTAAAGAGAATGTGGCTTGGAGACTCTTCCCTGTGGTCAAGTCTTAGCAAGGGAAGGTAATAAAGATGTAAACAGGATACTGGTAAATAGACCTACAAACTTATAAATCCCATAGGCAACAGATGACAGGTAATAAAGAGAATCATCTTTTATCCCATTCTTTCTTCTAAGCCTTACAATTTACCTCATAGGGAGTCCAAGAGGAAAACCATAATTTTGGAGGTCCCCTGTGCTGCCATATGCCCATTTGCGACATGGTGAAACGACCCCTGTACTTGAGGATGGTAGACGGTGAAAATAATAAAATATATGTATAAACTGTCAGTTCTTCAGTGGATTCCCCACATTTCTTGTGTTTGAACCCAAAAAGAGAAGCCGTCGCACTCAAACAACCCACACCCCTTGGGGTCCATGAAAGTGACATCCTCAAAATTCACCTCTAAATGGTGGTCGAAAGGAAGCACCCCCACTAATGTTTTTGAGAACCACGCAACATCTTCATGTTAAACAAGCAACTCGCAGTGACCCACGGTGTCCCCTTTCAGGGATTGCTGGCCAGGGTTGACTACTTACCCATTGGGCTGGTCATCCATCAGCAGGGTTGAAACAACCCCTTCTTTCAATGGTTTCTTTCTGCACCATAGTTTGAGCAACCCTGGCTGCCAAAACTAACGAATTGCAAAACGAAAAAGAGGAAGCCACATCAAAAGGACACCACCAGGCAGGCGGAGAATTGAGAAGACATGTGTCCAGACGCCCCAAGAAAAAAGACACCACGGGAGCCTCTTCTCGGTTTCCCTTGATTTGGAATACTCGATCAATGGAATTGGGACCCAGAGGCCTGCAAGAAGAGAAGCATCATCAAACGTCAATAAAACAAACACATCCCAAAATCAATCCGCCCCCTTCAGGTTTTCCCGACGCAGAAGACAAGCATCAAACATACGGACACATCCCAGACGAAATCCGCCTTCAGGCGTTGCCAGACGCCCCAAAGAGAGAACAGAAGCCACCGGGAGCAGCTTCCTTGGCGCCTTCTCGGATCAAGGATGGCGTGGACCTGCTGAGCCCTGGCGCCTTCGATGCCGCCATCCAAGGCTGCGTGGCGGTGCTGCACACCGCCTCCCCCTTCTACATGAAAGGAGCCCGCAAAAAGGTGGGGGGTGGGTGGCTCGCATCAGCGCCCCCGCGTTTTTTTTTTGGCGGTTTGGAGTGGGTAGTTGGTGGTTACCTCTACAAGAACCAGGGGTTCAACTCCAAATCCAGACGGGGGTGGCTCGTCTTTTCTCGGGTGCCGCAAAAAAGACACCCATGTATCAGCGAAAGACACACCCGTTTGTCGGCTTCTCTCGGTTTTTTGTGGTTGGGATTGGGTGGTTGGGTGGGATTGAGGAGTTGTTTCGAAACGGTGGCTCGCAGCTTCCCTGGCTTTTTAGGTGGGTGTTTCTTTGGGGACCATGGGTGTCTGTTTTCAGAAAACTCCCCAAGACGGTGGTTCTCTCTTCTGCTTCCCTGGAAGAAGGGGTAACTCCAAGAAAAGACGAGCCACCCCCATCTTGTTTTGCCTGGAGGTCAAAGAAGCATGAGATTGTATTTTGTGTGGGAAATCCTGCTTGTTTTCAGATAATCCCTAGTTGGTGGTCTGGATTTGAATTTGAAACCCTGGTTCTTGTAGAGGGTAAATGGGAAACCACCCCTAACCACCAAACCACCGGGCTCCAAACAACAGTGGGGTTGTCTGTTCTTTTGCGGCTAAAAGGTACCCGTTTAGTGTGGTTCCACAAGGAGCTCAAAGGGAAAATGGCAGTTTTGCAGGTGCCCTCAAGTAGATGTGGAGCTTTGGTGAGTTGGCCCGGGGTTTTTCTCATGTCAGGGTAGACTACATATGGGTGTGTCTTAAAAAAGGGGATGCCCAAAATGGTTGCGAAACCAAATCCAACAAGGGTACCGAAGCTCAACCGCGACAAGCTGGACATCTTATACACGGTTGCGCAAATTCCTCCCCCGCCACCTGCAGGGAGTTCCCTTTTAAAGATCACCATTTGGGCCGATGAACGGGGGACATATGCGGAGCCCCACTGCAAACCCAACATGTTTCCCGGGTTTTGGAGCACCATAATCCTTTACAAGTTGCAATGCAATGTTCAGGTATATAATGTAAGGATCCCTGATTATGATGACGTGTAAATCAGTCTGTTGATTCTTAATGCAGGACAGCACAGCGCTTGCCTCTGTACCAGCCTACATCACCAGCATCACCTTGCCCTACATGATAATGTGCAGCACAGCGCGTGCCATCTTGCCAGCCCGCGGCTGAATGCGGGCAGCGCAGCGCTTGCCCGGCAGCAGAGCGCCTGCCCTCTTGCCAGCCTACATCACCTGCATCATCTCGATGTTAGTAAGGGCAGCGCAGCGCTTGTCCTCTTGCCATCCTGCATCACCTGCATCATCTTGCCATCCTGCATCACCTGCATCACCTGCATCATCTCAATGTTAGTACGGGCAGCGCAGCGCTTGCTCTCTTGCCCTGCATCATCTCGATGTTAATCTCGATGTTAGTAGCTTGCGAGATGTTAGTACGGGCTGCGCAGCGCTTGCGCGCTTGCCATCCTGCATCACCTGCATCACCTGCATCACCTGCATCACCTGCATCACCTGCATCACCTGCATCACCTGCATCACCTGCATCACCTGCATCATCTCGATGTTAGTCTCGACCAGTAATTACGGGCAGAGCAGCGCTTGCCCTCTTGCCATCCTGCATCACCTGCATCATCTCGATGTTAGTACGGGCAGCGCAGCACTTGCCCTCTTGCCAGCCTGCATCACCAGCATCATCTTGACGTTATTGCGGGCAGCGCAGCGCTTGCCCGCTGCATCATCTTGAGCATCATCTTGAAGACCGCACACCCAGCTTGGAATTACAGAGGCAATCATAGGTTTGACAACTCAACACATCGAACCACTCACCGACCCCAAATCCGGGAACCCCCCCATAACTGGGGTGTTCATGGTTTCCTTCAAGACTATTTGATATATGTTTGGCTTTACGAAATATTAACCAGACTCAGAACATATCTCTTTTGTACCCCTTTTCTCGTACTCCTTTGTGGCCCAAGTTCCCACCTTCCCCCCCTCCTCCACACACCTCCGGATTTTCCCTTCAATTGGATCCCCCACCCCCCCCACCCCACCCCACCCCACCCCCACCCCCCACCAGCCGCGCCCAGCCGAGAGCTGGGAGGAGGCTCCGAGGAGAAGCTCGTGACGCCCGCGGTGGAGGGCACCCGCAACGTGCTGGACACCTGCCGCAGGCGCGGCGGTTTCGCGCGCGGACACGTGTGAGGGAGGCCTCCCCGGAATGGCAGACGTTTTTTTTTCCTCTTTTTTTTTTCTGTGTGTGTGTGCGCGGAGCGGAGCGACAGATTCAAGGACTCAGGCCAACGAAGACGCCTGATGAGAAGTGTGATGCAATCCGGGACGCTGGATTGTGTGCCCGCAACGGTTGTGCAAAGTCCTTTTGGCCCGCTGCTTCTCTCGCTGTGTGTGCTTCATGTTGGATCTGGTAACTTTTTCCGACATTAAAGAGAAGCCAAGTGTCGTGCAAGCCGAAAATTCACCCACTCGAGACTCATCAGTTGTACTCGAAGGATTTGTTCCCTTGTCTCCTTCTCTTCTCTTTTCTTTCCTGTCTCCTTTTTTCCCCGGGCGGGCTGCGGCGCCCTAAATACACATCTCGGCCCCTTTGTCTTCCTTTCTTTCTTTCTTCCTTCCTTTCTTTCTTTCTTTCTTTCTTTCTTTCTTTCTTTCTTTCTTTCTTTCTCTCTTTCTTTCGTTCTTTCAACCCCCCCCCCCCCCGCCGTTCTTTTTCTCTTTTTCCCCCTCTACGCTTCATCCTGTGCTTCCTCTTCGCCCGTTAAGGGATGGCCTGTTCTTCCTCTCGCTCTTCAACTTCGCGGTGCTCCCCGTCTTCGAGGTTAAGGAGGGTTTTCAGGACTGTTTGGGGTTTTTGCCCTTGTCGGAGGCCCCAAACTTGGTTTTCCCTGGTTTTCGTGTTTCTTGATTGGGGTTTTGCGCGGAGACCCAACGTGGGGCTTTCTGTTTCTTTGCTTTCTCGGGGTCTTCGTCCGTCTTTCGGGCGCGTGTTTTTTAGGGTTGCTCCCCCCGTAAAAAACTGAGCTACTCGCCCCTCTTTGAGGGGCGTGTGTGTGTGCGGAGCGACAGATTCACCCCGTCGCCACCTTTTCCGATTCTCAGCAGGGGGCTTGAGGCTTCTCATCAGGACTCAGGCCAACCAGGACTCAGGCCAACGAAGACGCCTGATGAGAAGTGTGATGCAATCCGGGACGCTGGATTGTGTACCTGCAACGGTTGTGCAAAGTCCTTTTGGCCCGCTGTTTCTCTCGCTGTGTGTGCTTTATGTTGTAACGTTTTCGGCACTAATGAGAAGCCAAGTGCCGTGCAAGCCGAAAATCCACCCACTCGAGACTCATCAGTTGTACTTGAAGGATTAGCTTCTCCCTTGGGAGTTGAAGTGTGTTCCTTTTTGTGTGTTTCCTTTAAAAAGGCGAGAAAGAAGGGGGACGCCACAAAAAGGGAACATGGCCAATGTGTGTGTGTGTGTGTGTTGAATGGGTCCCTTTGGTGGAATTTCGTGGGGATGAATTTGTCCATTTGAGGCTCGCAAATCACCTTGGTTTGAAGGGAAGCTAGCAGGAAAGCCACGGCTTCGTGGAACCCCCTGTATTTTCATGCCCACGCGACAACGGGCCAATATGGTTACCATCATTTGCGGTTCGGGGATGCCATTCGGCGCATTTTCCATATCAGCATCTGGAAATGGGGGCTGCTCACCCGTTGAAAGCGCAATATTTTTTTCGCCCCGAGGGCGAATCTTGGTGGCTCTCAGCAAGGAATGAGTTCCCTTTAGGGTGTGCCTAGGTTCATCCCCAAAGCCCATGTTGAATCCCTATAGCGAGTAACAATCAGTTTGCATTCCCAACCAAAGGGTACAGCTGGAACATGTTTGGATAACTAAATCAACCAGGAAATCAGACACCCACAATTGGGGGTCCGCGCGCTAACTGATTGTTACTCAACCTGACATCGTGCCCAATGAAATTCAGCTTGTCCAATAGCAAGACTTCAGTTGTTGTTGTGTTTTTGTGGGGGGAGGAAAGAACAGAGACCAGTGGCCAGTTCCATCTAGTTCTTCCGGGATGCTCCAGTGGAGCAACAATTGCACCGGACTCTTGAATGATACTGTGGATGCACGAAATCCATTTCGCACCACCGTTCAGAAACCCTGGTTTCTGATGATTCACCTGTAAATACCGACAAACGTTTTGGTTTCAACCATGGCTTCATTTTGTGGTGCAAAATGGATTTCGCAACCATGCGCAGTATGACCGTTTCACCTTCGGAGGAGCTCTTGGAGCACGCTGCAAGCGCTTTCTTGGGTTAACCCCCCGCCCCCGCCGGTAACCCACCCCCGAATTTTTGGTCAGGACTCGTTGGATTTGGATTTGAGGCCCTACATAGAAGGCAAATGTGGCCCCCAAGCCTCCAATCCAGAGGGAAGCTGATCAAAGGCCAAGTGGGAAACCACTGACCTCCAGACCAGCACTCCAAACCTGGGAAAAGGTGAGAAGTGTTCTAACTAAGAGCTGAAAATTAGGGACTAAGAGCGGAAAAGAGAAGATTTGGCGCTCTTGACTCGGTGAGTTCCAACGGCAGGCTGGGAGTGAAGCGAGTGGCCCTAACCTCCTCCACCGCCTCCGTGTATGCCAACTACGGCACGCTGCCCACGGAGCACGTCTACAGCGCCGCGGACTGGTCTCCGGCGGAGCTCCTGCGAGAGAAGGCGCGGGTTCGGTCAGGCGAAGGCGAAGCGGTCGCAAACATGCGGCGATTTGACTTGCTGCGAGGAGTTTTTTTTAAATATTTTTTTTTAAAGATAAATCCTGGGTTGGTTTTGAAGGGAATCGATTTCATGATTGGCATTAAGAAACAGGGGTTGGTTAGTCTTGCTGGTGCGATTGGCAAATGAGGGAAATGACCCTTGGTTTTCCTTTTAAGGCGACCCCTGGGTTCATTCCGACATTCCCTGAGCAGCAGCAAGTTAAAAGGGCTCCCACCTGGCATGTCTCTTTCTGCAGAAGCCCCGAACTGGCGGTTTTCCTTTTGGTTTCCCTTTAAAACCATCCCACAAACACGCGCACACACACAAATGTATAGGAAAAAAACATATATACATATATATGTATATATAGCCCCTTTAAACCTCACACCAAAAGGAAGCTCACTGTAAAATTGGCGCAAAAGGTGATGTTTGCAACCACTCTAAACACCAACCCACCGATAGAAACTAGGGGTCTTATATCTTCCTTTTCTTGGCCAGCTTAAGCATCACCTTTCTGCCTATTTGTAAGTGCATTTCCTTGGCGGGTGATGTTTACGGGGACCTTTTGGGTTCCCTTTCAAAGAAACCAAAACTGAGTCATGTGCTTTTCTTTTTTTTGGGACACCTCCACGTGGGGTGTTCCTTTTTTCAGGCGGACCCCCTTTTCGTTGCTGTCTCTTCAGTGAACAAGTCCAAAAGCAAACTACGCATTCTGGCGGTTCCCCCATTTGAAGACAAATCCACATAGGGGGATGACGTTTTTTTTGGACTCAGACTCAGCTTGTTCTCGAGCTGAAGGGTCGGCGTTCAGAAGGAAAGAGGTGTTCAGCTAGTTTAGACAGCTAGCTGGCGGAAAGGATGAACCTTCACAAGGAGAGAATGGATGAAAGAGAGCTCCCAAAGCATGGAGCCATACAAGGGTTTTGGGGAAAGGATTCCTAGTTCAGAATGGGAAATTGCCACTGAAAACACGTGCCGAGAGGTTGTCCCGAAGCTTCTGAAAAGAGGGCTTGCCCAGCGTTTTGCTAGTGGAATTGTCGCAAAACGAGGCCCACAGACCCCCCACCAGGACTTGTTTGATGAACATGGGGTGTCCCAAAACACCCCTTGAATCGGGGCCTCTTTTTGTTGCAACCCATGTAGACTCAGTAGTCCCACTTTTTTCACCCCTTCGCCCAACCGGGCTGGTGACTTTCAGACAGTCAAAGTGGGGTCCATGTGGATGGAAAAAGCAATCCCAGCTGGGATGGATGGTTTACCCTGTCCATCCTGGTGGTAAATCATCTAACTGGTGCGAAGCGGATTTCGTCCATTCAGAGTAAACGTCCTTTTGATCGGTTAGTTTGACTAACAAATAGATGGCACTGTTTTTAGATTGATTTTCTGAACCAGCTACGAGGGCCGTCTATTTTTCCAAAGGGTCACCTATGTTGGGGTCCTTGTTTTGATGGCGGCCCTCGTGTGTTCTCTTCTGTACGCAGGTGTCTTCATGTCAGCTTTTCCGGTTACTCTCGTTCTGGCCTTTGTTTCTCCCTCAGAAGCAACAGCAACCAACCATGGCAGTTGTTTCCTCGCAACCAAAACGAGCAGGGGAAAGCAACGAACATTGGCAACATCTCCCTTAACGTTAAAGTCACCCAGTACGGCAACTCTCTACGTGGATGTTCGGCCAAGTTAGTAAGTTGTTAGCCACTTGGGTATAACCACCTAAACAAGGTTAATCCGCCTTAGGGGGACTTATAAGTGGGCTATAACCGCACGATCATCAACAACTTACCAACTTGGCAACGTTCAAGTAATGTTGACCTCATATTAATCAACTCCAGTTTATTACTGCTTTTCGCTGGGTGAAATGTGGGGAATCTGTCCACTTTTGGAGGGGTTTTCACCTCCAAGATTTAATAAACCGGGGTTGAGTATTCTAGGTCAACATCACTAATAACACTAATACCCTCCTGTCCATTAGCATGGAGCCTGACTGGATGGGTACCAAAAAACAACAATAGTATGTTCAAGGGGCCATTTCAACATTACCCTCTTCAAACAAAAGCCCTGATTGGGGGGGGGGGTCCTGGAAGACTATGTTCCTTTACACGGGACCCCATCCTCATGACCCTCTTCAAAAACAAAACCTGAGAAAAATAGCATGTTCCTTTCCAAGGGACCATTTCAACACTAGCCTCTTCAAACAAAAACCGAGCCTTGAGCCGATTTCTTCTGCGCCCGAGGAGAACTGGTACTGCCTCTCCAAGGTCAAGGCGGAGGAGCGCGGAGCGCGCGACTCGCGTCTCGCGTGATGCCCGGCATGGCTCGCGTGTTGTTGGAGTTGGTACGCCTTTTGGTTGGTTTTTAAAGGAAGCAACAGGGAAACCACTGAGCCCACTCTTGTTAGTTTCCTTTTGTTGGGGGGGACAACAGGGAAACCACTGAACCCACTCTTGTTAGTTTCTTTTTTGGGGGGACAACAGGGAAACCACTGAACCCACTTTGTTGTTTTTTTTTGTGGGGGGGGGGGGGCAACAGGGAAACCACTGAACCCACTTTTTTTTTTGGGGGGGGGAGGGAGGGGTATCCCTAAAACACACACACACACACACACCTACATGCAGACCCGACAATACTGTGGATGCATGAAATCCATTTGGCACAATTGGGGCCAACTTGTAGAGCTTTCTGCATCCATTTCGTGCATTCACTGTACGACCAGAAACCGAGACGGGCGGCCCAAGATGGTGCTTTTCCTTTCGGCTTGTCCAAGACTAACCTGAAAATTGTACCCTCAAACCGCGCTCCCGATCGAGTTGCTGGACTTTAGTCACTTTTTGGGCGTTTCTCGACTTTGGCCACTCAGGTGAGACACAGACACAGGCCGCTAGATTTCTAGTATCCACGAATCCAGAAATCAGAAAACGAAAGCCACTATGGGGCATGTACGGGACCATCGGAGGCATTGTCGCCCTAAAATGATGAACCATGAACACAGACGTCCTAGGTTTAAACCTTTCTTTTGTTTATATGTTTTTGCTTTCGTCATTAATTAGGCTTGATTCCACTTGCGCAGTGGATTCCGCCCCCTGTTTTTTCCCGTTTTGGTGTGAAGGGTTCCCAATTAAAGTCAACTAACTAAGAAAGGATGCCCTTTTTTCCCATAGCCACTGGGCATCTGAGTGATCATTGACCAAGAGTAGCCAAATTCAGGATCGCCGTCCAGTGGAAACACCCCGTGAATCTGCCATGTACTCAACGTTAGCCGAGGTCTGCTAGGCAGCCCCTGCGTGTATGTGGTGGGGGGGGGGGGCGGGGGTGAGCGCGTTCCTTTTGGTGTTCGAATGGGGTCCAAAACAAGCTGATCCAATGCATGATCTCCCCAGCACAAGCAAACACGGCGATGTTTGACATCTAGAGCGTTTGTCATCCATGGGTGGAGTGGTTGTTCGTAGATTGTTGGATTGTTGGATTGTTGGATTGTGTGTGTGTGTGTGGTGTGTGTGTAGGCACCGCTTTCAGTGTGTGTGTGTGTGTGTGTGGCCCCCCTGTTTCTAAGGGGTTCCGCGGCTGTGTCTATTTTTGGAGTCGGCCGCCACCGCCTTGGATGATCTAGCATGGAGTAACTAACGCACTGCTGGCGGTCCGGAAGAGGAGAGTGCGTTGGCGAAAGATGTCTAGACTTCCTCGGTGCCGAAACTCCATTGCCCTGCCGGAGACCTTCAAACAGCCTGTGCCTGCATGGGGGTGCACATTGTCAGCTTCGCCGTCTCATATCAAGTGTGTTTAGGCACTGCGTCCGGGCTTCGGTCAGTGTCTTGATCCCCTTTGCGGGCACCTGTTATGACCCATGTACCGACACCTTCTTCAGACAACCACCGGACCTTGTCGCTCGCGACTCTGGACTTTTTCCATTGACTTTTTCCATTGACCATTCACCACAGGCTTGGACATGTCCCGGACGTTTCAGCACCCCGGATTATTTCATGGTTGACTTTCCCAGTTGACCTACTGCCAGACTACCTGACATATCAGGCATGAATCCATGACGCCGTCAGTTTGCTCTTGGCTCGCAATTGCAGGCAACAGATGCCACGGCCCAACGCAGGTCCGATGTCGAACTCAGCAGGCCCCATGACCAAGGCATCCAGGAACACTGCGGGCCCTACGCCACCCAGATCACCAGTGAGCCAGACAGCATCACCGAGCAGGAGTGCACTTGTGACACCAACCTCCAGCATCTCTGGCACGTTGTCTAGTACCTCAAGGGCTACCAAACCTTCGGTTCCAGCCCTTGCTCCCGGTGACGCCTCGGCATCGATCCCTGCTTCACCTACCTGGCCTGCATCCGTTGCTGGCCCACTGCCGCAAATCCTGGTGAAGGCGCGCCCAGCAACCCCGATGACTCCAATGACTCCAATGACACCGACTACCCCAACGGCTCCAGCTACAGCATGTCCATCTCAGACCACCGCACCGACCCCTATCGCACCGACCCCTACGGCAACTCCATCAGGCCAGATGCTACCACCGACCAACCCACCGGCAAGATCACGCCACGCAACGGAGGGAGAACGGTCACGTTCCCATAACGCATCCCCCTACTCCAAGTCAGTGCCTCCACAGCGTCGCAGTCGAGCTCGCTCCAGGACGCCACCACCGATCTCCCGAAGGGACGCAAAATCGGATAATTCAACCACGGCAGCGCCGGCTCTCGCCGCGTCGGCGCCCACAGCAGCTAAATCCTCATCCCGAGTGCCTACGGCAACTAAAGCTTCATCCCGGCGGCCGAGAAGCAACAGATCCCCACTTCCGCGCAGCAGAAGCAGTGCCCCATCGGCTCCAGCCTCCAAGGCCACCGGTGCTCATCCAGTCACGGAGTCATCCTCGAGAAGTATGCAGCTGCGTCCCAATTCGCAGGTGCACCCACCGCTGATCCTGCTTCCCAACCCGGAGTCCGACCCGTGGAGGAACGAACTTCAGGTGCTCGCCTCGCCGTACGTCCGCGACGGGATCCCGGTCAATCAGGAGCAGATGGACTATGTGGCCGCTACTCTAAATGCAGCAGGAATACCATCTCAGCACTCCACCCTGAACTATGCCAAGGTCAACCCGGAACATCACTACTCCAAGATCACTCCACACTGGTTCATGCTGACCATCCCCTACCTTGGCGCCACAGTTCGGCTCAAGGAACCAACGAAGACGCGGCCCATGCTGCTCTGGACTCACGCATCCAGTGTCGGCGGCACCAGAGGCATACTACGAAGCCGGCAGATACATCCTTCCCGGCAGCACTCCTCGGAGTGCCCAGCCTTTTACGCCCAAGGTTGGAAGATCACTGGACACGCCGATTACGATGCTGAAGAAATTGCCCGCACGATGAGCCAGAATTGGAGCATGTCTTTCAACATGGCCCAACTGCTGCTGTTTGGGCGCGCTGTCGGTACCTGTCAGCCGATTCGTTCAGGAGGAGAGCAAGCTTGCATTGAGGCCTTGGATTCCAGTGAACGTCCTGACGTCATCCACTATGTGTCGGGCAAGTGTTGGATGGTGATTCCAGAAGCAAGCCAGATCGTTGGACTCGCATGGCCTACCGACGCGAAACCGCCCACAGGTGTCCTCCGCTCGTGAACCTGCACCAAGAGCTGCTGCACCCGATAACAATTAATGATATTTCTTTGCAAATAAGAGCATTCTTCGCCACACTGCCGTCTTCGATCGCCGACGATATTTTGCGACAAAAAGTGCACGCTAGGGCCTTATGACTCAAGCACGACTTTATTTTGTTGGTCTTCTTGAGGTTTTCATTTGCATTGTGCTGACCTGCTGTGATGATCGCTGTTTCTCGTTTACTTTAAAGGCTCTGGGCTTGGTTGCAAATCTTTTGTCGTTTCGACAATTCGTGCCGTATGCCTAGCGTTTAATCAATCAATCAGCAAGTGTCGAAGATGAACCCCCATCCCGTGATGGCTTCTCAGTGGACCTATTCGTGGCCGGCGACGTCGGCACCCTCCTCCTCGCAGCCGGGGTCCTCGTACCTTCCATCATGGTCAGTACCGCAGTCTCAGCAGGAAGCCTATTCGAGCTCCAATCGGATGGAATCCATGCAGCACCAACCTCGAGAGGAAGCAGCACCCCGAGTCAATCCTCCTCGGCCTCCACATATGGCTCACCAGTTCCCTCCTCAGCCTCCTGGTCAGTTCTACAACTATCATGGCGGTGGCACAACCCACATGCAGACAGGTCCTCGGCCCCCACCACCAGCACCACCAGTTCAACTTCAGGCCCGTGCACCCCTAGGCCAAGGCTATGCAACGCAGTACACTCAGCCTCGATATTCGCAGCTACTCCATAGCACCTTTCAATCTGATGACATCTTCCTCGACAAGACGGAAGTCCGCGGCCTGCAACTATACCGTCACATTCAACCCACTCAGTGGTCCAGAAGAGTCGGGCTCGCAGGAACAGCAATCTTAGATCTCCCACTGACACGTCTTCTTCGAGGAGGAGCAGAAGATCACGCACTCCGAGCGCTGTCGATCGGGCGACACAGTACACCGGTAATGTCTCAGACAATAGCCGAGGCGGTGTTATTGACATCAATTCTCAAAGCCTTGCGAGGCAGGGAGGTCGACATCGACCGGACGGCCCGCTCCCTCCACGCGGACAATGCGCCGGACAAGCGCAACGAGGCTATGCAGTTTATGGAGCCACTTGCGCTCAAAATCGTGGATCTCATAGAGTCGCTGCAGCCCGCCAAGCAGGAGAACCTCACTCGCCACAAAATTGCCGAATTGGAACAACAGCTTGAACGCTACAAGAACAAAGGCATCACTCTCACACCGGACAAGAAGCAGCCATCCTCATCTCCTTCCGCTCTGACCAGTCCCTCTACATCAACGCGGCGAGGTCGGATGCTCAGGGACCTCCCCTACCAGTTCCATCTCCGGAGGCTGATCCAGCTCCCAAAAGACGGCCGGCAAAGCGCAAGACCCCGGAGGTTGCCCCGGACATCACACTAGATCCAGAACTTCTACGTCAGGGCAATCCCAAGGGTCAACAGGTACCACTTCCCACCAGCCTCACAGACAAAGTCTTCAAAGCGTGGTTGCACGAACGCACGCTGTCCAAATCAAGCAGGAGCTAGCATCGGACACGGTGGAGCAGCTGAAAACCATTGCAGTCAAGTGGGGCGCCACCATCTCCGTGGTGAGCAAGGGATCGAAGCGAGCACTCCTACAGTTCATCACGGTTTTGTACATGTATGGAAAGTGAGAGGCGAGATTGTAGCGCTCACGATGAAGGACGT